ATTTAGTGACATTTAAGGTGCCTTTTGAAGTTAGTGGGGGGAGGTGACAATGGTGGTAGCAGAGAATTGATAAAGAATCTCACTATGAAGCCCAGGCTAATATCAAACTGGTGATCTTCCTGCCTCAGCCTTTGGATTATAAATGTGTACCACATGCCTGGCTTAAGGGAATTTCTTATTCATTTTCTTTTTATAACTATAGGCCATATTGAATGAACAACTTTACGCTTTCACAACACTCCAAACAAGTTAGTTAATGTTGGAAAATCCAGCCCAAGAAATTCAAGCTGCTACTATGATGTATTTTATAGGTATGTTTCCTTTTTCTTCATAATCTTTGAGTAATGCTTGTTCTCTCTTTCTCTTGTTCTCTTTCCTCCATCCTTCTCTTCCCATTCATTCTTTTCCTTGGGAAAGTGCCCCCTAAGTCTCAACTACCTCAACTCAAATTTCTGAATTCAAACTCCTCCTGCTCCAGCCTCTAAGTAGCTGCAACGACAGGCACACACATCACCCACCTTATTCACACTTTGTTATAGCTTATGTTTTAGAATCCCTCTGAGAGGACGAATATAAACAGTGAGCTCCAGGTATATCGGTTAGATTCCTCAATAACAAAGATAGGCTAGCTCAGAGAATGGTTCATGAACTGAAACACCGTCTTAGAGACATGCCACTGATAGTACAGCCACAACTGCAACCTTGACAACCAATTGACTATGCTGACATTGGACGTCATGGCTGAGCCCTCTTCAGTACAATCTATGCACTGACAACTGAACTCAGACCATTGCTCCTGACACCCACCTTCATTTCTTCTCTTCTCTTTCCTTAGAGAAATGGATGCTTTTACCAGAGTCGCTGCCTCTGTAGGGCTCTCCTCCTATTTCTTTAGTCACCTATTTCTATTTGAGAATGTGTGCAGGTATATATATCTCAGTGAGCAAACATCAACTATGGCCATGAGGGACCTGAGTGGCCTGGAAAAGTGAGAATCTGACATCTTCAGTTTAAATACTGGAAAGTAGAGTTTGTATTCCACAAAGCCACAATGGAACTAAGTCACCAAAGGCAGAAGACAATATTCAGACATTAAGCAAACAAAACAGTTATCTGTGTCTGCTGTGGATCTTGAGCCTCTTGACTTTTCCTGCCATAGACCAACTCCCAGGTATGGTGTCTTTCATGGAATAAAAGCAGAAGTGATGTAAGTTAAGAAGTCAGGAAGCATATTTAAGCATAGGAAAAGATCTTCAGCACTTTTTAGTTAACCTTGATTTACTGCACATTGCAGAAAATATCTTATTAAATATGAGGAATCATGCATGTACAGACAAGATTATCCTGAATTTGTTTTAAATTGGATGGAAAGGTATTAAGAGGAGAGAGAGAGGGAGAGAAAGAGAGAGAGAGAGATGAAATAAGATTGTCCTAGTGTGCACTAAAGTTGAAGTTGGGTGCCAAAGACTTACAATTCTACTTGTGTATTTATTTTTAAAATCACATAAAAGAATGAAGAAGAAACTGTGTAGAGTTGTATTTACTTGGGGATATATTAATCTCATCCCTTTGGAAAGATAAAGAAATCTCAAGTGATTTGCAATGAAGATTTGAGTGGGGTTGTCTCCATGGGCATCAATCATCTTGTCAGTCATGAGCCAAGAGAATTTGTTTCCACTGCACAAATGTTGAAAGAGCTTGGAAGTTCCTTATGTCTGTTTTTTCCATATGATTTAAAAAGTAAAAGTAGCTTTAGCTTCTGAAGGAATTGGTTAACATATATTGGCTTTTTGCCATTTAAATTTATGCCATCAATCTCAAACATTTGATCAACATACTTGTCTTTTCATGATAAATCAAACAAACAAACTAGAATATCCTTTGGGAAAAAAGAGCATTAAAAACCCAGAGTTTTCTCTTCTTTTAATCTTCATTCCAAGACTACTAACAAATGGATCACACATTTAAATATCCTCAGGGGAGAATATCTGTGATTTCAATTATGTTCTCTACTCAGTTGAAACACTGATACAAGATTCTTTGTCATGATCATAATCTTTTCTAATGTGAGGATCTTGTGATCACCTAGAGAAATTCTGTCTTGCCAAGCCTACTTTGAAATGGGACAATCACTTTTCCAGAAGAAAATTGTGCATGTGTTGGGAGAGGGAAGCAGTAAGCCCCAGATATCAACCTGTCTCTACCTCAACAGCATTTGTCACACTAATTGCTTTCTGATGGATTTAAGGGCTTATTGTTGTTGTGTGTATATGAACATGAATTTTTTTGGAGGGAGCTATCAAAGATTTAGATTAATCTTAAATGCTATATTTGTAGAACAGCAAGAAAGGATACATCAAAATAAATTCCTGAAATAATGTCTTCATGAAGAATTGTCAGCAATCTGAGTCACATTAGTTAAAAAAAATAAAAATAAAAATAAAACCAGCAACCATCTTCCATTCTCCATCCAAAGGTCCTTGAGGAAGAAACTCGGTAAGGATGGGCAGAATTTCCTGGAGCCTGAGCTGGTTTGTGTACAGTGGCAGAGCTGTAAAGTAATGGAAGACCAGAAGTTGAAAGAGGAGAGGAGAAACTAGAAGCCAGGATTGTTGCAAAGGTGGTAAGGGACTGTGGGACACTGCAGATACCTTTAGCTCTAAACTTAGTTAAAAAAAAAAAGACTCTAAAGGCAAGTTTACCAAGAACAAGGTCACAAAAGGAAATCCCCACACCTAGCAGTATAATGAACAGTACAAATTTGAATTGATGGGTGATTTAGAGAGAGAGAACAGGAAAGGGAGAAGAAGAGGCAGAGAGAGTGAGAGAATGAGAGAACACATAAGGGAGAGAGATTGAGAAAGAGAAAGGACAAAAAGTTGGAGGTAATAAGAAGGGGGGATCTGGAAGCAACTAGTGGGGGGAACAGGAGTGAATGATAAAGTATATCATGTAAAACCCATAAAGTGTTAATAAAATACTTTTTAGAAAGGAAAGTTGAATTCATTCCATATTGACCTCCAAAATGGGCAAAGGTTGAATGGCAATGAACATGAACCCTGGACTTGGGCACATTAGACTGATGTAAATATATCACTAGACCCAAGGTAAATGATAAATGGGTGTTTATTGGCAAACAATTACACAGACAAATACAAAGAACTGCTGGAGCATTTCCCTGCTCTCCCTACCGGATCCACTGACCCTCCAGGAAAGCCACAACTCAAGCTCCTCTCTTTGTGCTTTCATCTGACTGAAGCCACACCCAAGGGTGTGTGGCCACTATTACAGGTTCATAAACCTAACACCTACATCAGACTCCAGTGGTTTCTTTGTGTATAATCAGTGCAACTGACTCAACGTCAAAATTTTTGTATTAACACTGCTGTTAGTGTGTGTGCGTACAATGGGTATGTGTGGAGTGAGATTTTGCCTTCCACTTGACATGGACTCCAGGGCTAAATTCAGGCCACCAAGCTATTGAGACAAATACGTTTATCTGATGAACCATCTTTCTGGTTCTTACCAGATTATACATAATAGATTATACACAATAATAATTTAAAGATGTGTTTGTTATCTTGCTTAGAAAACAGTAAAGGCTCAATAAATGACATCTGCTTCGTTATATTACTGTTATTTCTGTCTGATGTACAGGTTTACATTGTTCTTTGAGTACTCAGACATAGCTCTATCTGGAGCATTTGCTTAACGTGTTTTCACTGCTTGCAGCTTTTCTTCCAGGTTGTTCCTGTGGACCATCGTCTTGGAACCCTCTCATCTGTTTTCAAAACAACATCTAGCTATTCCATGTTTTAAAATGAGTATATTCTATCTTGTTTTTTTTTTTTGCTGATGCTTCTTTTCCAATTATTTTTTAACCTCTATCAGCTGCTGCTTCCTGATGCTATAAACCATCTCTCCATCTATTTGTGTAGCTATCTTCTTTGTTTTCTCCCCCACTAGAATGCAAGACCACAAGGTAGAGATTTTAATCTGATTATTATAGTTAATATTTGCTTAGCATTTCAAACAAGGCCTGACACATAAAAGATTATTAATACAGTATTATTGAGGGAGAGCTTTACTCCATCAAATAATGCTGTTAGCAAAGTGAATGACTCTTCAACTGACTTTCGTATTCTCTTAGTTTGAGGGTGGGCACAAATTTTCTTCAAGCTTTCTTTTAGTATTCCTTTTACTTTGTTGTATCTGTATTTTCTTTGCAAAGTAGGCACAAGATATAGTATTGCTTCTCTTTGTAAAAACAATCCATCCACTCCCTTAAGAGATTACCAGTTTACAGTAATCATTCATATTCTTTACTGACCTGAACTGATTACTGGGAAAAGCTGATGCTTTTCTATTGCAAGATAATTAAGACAGAGCAAGTGATCAGGAATCCACATAACCATTGCTGTCTTCCATTCACTACCAAAGGGACCCCAACTTTCTAATCCTCAAACTCTAGACCAGAGAATGTAACATATTAACCATGAAATATGTTAATCATGTATTAATATGTTAATAGGAAAATATATTAATCATTAAAGAAATTGGATAAATTGAGAAAAAGGACAGGAACAAGATGTAATCACAGTGGGCTAACATCAATTGTCAACAATTTTTGGATTATTTGCCATGTCTCCAGACCCACATCTGTTGGGAGCCAAATCTCAGGGCTTGGCATGAGATCCTAAGTCATGCTTGGCAGGCCACATAGTTAACCTTTACATAGCAGCTCCTTCGAACCTCAGCTCAAAAAAAGAAACAACCTGACCCAGTCCTCCACCCACAGGCTCAGTCACCTAAGCAACCCTTCCTGGACCTCTTACTCATAAATTCTTTACCCTGCCAAACATCCTCTTTGTGGCTTCCTAATATCCCACCTACACTAACACCTGGCTCACAAACAACCCATTCTACCCCTCCCCATATCCTGCTCCGTGACTATATGAGCTAGCCTGAGAGAAAAGTAAAGTTTGCCACTTGATCAGAATCCTGTCTTGTGGCCATTCTTTTTGCGTCTTTTGTCCCCATTCCCTATCCCTGACTCTCTTGCCCCAGGTTGATGTCCTGCAGGTCAGGACAACTGGTGCCCAAAGTGAGGCTGGATAGAGTTGGGGATCTGGGAACTTCAGTGCTCATTAGAGGGACGGCCTGTCTATGCAATGAGGCGTCCAAGACAAGGTCTATTGTGAGCCTCGGTTGGAGGAAGACCCAGCAGCCTGCCCAGCACTTGGGACTTTCGGTTCATGAGCACCAACTACATGGAAAAGGTAAGTAATGGGACAAGCATTTAGCAAGGAAGATTTCTTTCTTTCTGTGATCGCAGAATCCTTCAAGATGCAGGGAACTTGGGTTAAGAAAAACAATGGATAAAATTAGCAAGGAAGATTTATATCTTTCTGGGATCAAAGAATCCCTCTAGGCTCAAGAAACTCAGGTTAGAAAGAATCAAACAAAAAAGTTCTTACTCTTTATTGGGGATCTTTGTCCATGGTTCCCCTAGGAAGGAACCATTAATGAAAAGAAATGGGCTTCTTTGCTTCTGCACCTGGCTTGTGGATCCATGGCGAGTTTGTCCACTATTACAGTGGCCAATGGTGGGGGAGAGTTCAACATTCTCCTTGTCATTTCCTGGGGAATGCTGGGAAGTTGCAAGTGAGGTCATGGAGTTAGAGAGGTTAAGGTTGACAATGATACTAAGCTGGCTCTGCAATGCAGGAGGGGAAGGAGATGTGGATGTCAGGAGGGACTCCTATTATGAGACTTTGGGGCCTGAAAAAAAATCCCTGTCTAAATTGCTGCTCTTGGCGTTTCCACTTTTGCTTTTTGCATGAGCCAGAAATGTTTTCAGTGGTTTCTTTTCTTCTCTTTTTCCCCTGAAGGAATGGTGATATACATCTAATATAATGCTTAGGAATTGAGTATACATGGTGGCCTGTAAGTGAGACCTGGCAAAGAATTGAGCTGTGTAGCTAACACCTCTGGATCTGTAGTTATGCTCAGAGGCCTTTCTGAAAGCTGTCTGAAGGTTTTCCTGTCTTCTCATTCTTCTCATTTAACCATTCATTGACCAAGTGCTTCTTTGTTTTGGGGTAATTTGTGGGACATTTATTAAGTGCTGGAATTTCCACTTCAGTAATTATTTCTGCTGCTTCAGTTTCGGTTTCTGGCTCTACAGCAAGTACAGTGTTTTCAATATCATTATGTTGTGACGTAAATTCAATGTCAGGGGAAGATGGCTGTATGTCTGAACACATGCTGATGGTCCTGTGTCTCCGACACTGCTGTCCAATATCCCGATCAACCCATTCTACACATTCCCTGAAAATGACCTCAATGACTCCGATTCAACGATTGGCTTGGCTGGCTTCTCCTAATATGGGAAAATAACCTCCTGTTACTCCTTTTTTCTTCCTTCTACCCATTCCTACTATTTCCCCATGGTTAACCACCCTCCTACCTTCCCTCCTTGGACCCCTGATAGGGCTCCTCTTATTATTTTCCTTTGGCCCTTAGGCCTTTAATCGACTTGTGGCCTTTGTCAAGCAACAAGTGGACTCTGCCACTAAGCCTGTCCTGGCCCAATACTAACTCACTTCCCCATGGCCAGCTTCAGAGGTGCAGACCTGGATGGCACTGCAAGGAGACCTCGTCTTCTGAGGAATATGCCTGTGCGCAATGGGGTCGATGTCCTAAAGCTTCCCCACCCCCACAAAAGGCATCCGACGGTCCTGCCTTTCAGACGGCTCCGGGAAGCCATCCCCAAGGTCAGAGAGAAATGTCCTTTATAAAATCACCATAGATTCTACAACTGGGGGCCAGGCCTCTATCCCCCCTCTGCTGAAAAATTTGGCCACTTCTTTTTATACAAGGAAGGGGGAATATGTTGGGAGCCAAATCTCAGGGCTTGGCATGAGATCCTAAGTCATGCTTGGCAGGCCACATAGTTAACCTTTACAGAGCAGCTCCTTCGAACCTCAGCTCAAAAAAAGAAACAACCTGACCCAGTCCTCCACCCACAGGCTCAGTCACCTAAGCAACCCTTCCTGGTTACTCATAAATTCTTTACCCTGCCAAACATCCTCTTTGTGGCTTCCTAATATCCCACCTACACTAACACCTAGCTCACAAACAACCCATTCTACCCCTCCCATATCCTGTTCTGCCGACTATATGAGCTAGCTTGAGAGAAAAGTAAAGTTTGCCACTTGATCAGAATCTTGTCTTGTGGTTTTTCTTTCTTCGTCTTTTGTCCCCATTCCTATCCCTGACTCTCTTGCCCCAGGTTGGGACACACATCTAATACTTAAAATACATTATCTTATTTAAAACACTCACAATAGTCTTGACATGGCGTATTGCTGCTATCACTGTTTCTGGGATGATAAAGAGGAAGCCTAAAATCCTCAGTAGCTCATTAGACCACAAACTAGCAACAGAAAGACAAGACTCTCTGGCCTTTCAACCTGTGCCAACCTTCCATGTATCCCAAAGCCTCGAAGGATGATAAGCTAAGTATCAGCCCTGATATGGCCTCTAAATGGAAACAAGAGCATACTAGACATATGCTATCTTTGGGCTAAGCACATATTTAGTAAAAGCTATAAAAGGAACAGTAATTGCTCAATTTATTCTAAAATGGGCTGGATAGTAAACATTTTAGTCTCTCTTTAATATGGTATGCCTCACTACTACTCAAGCCTGCCACTAAATCACAAAGACAACCACGGATGAAATGAAAATCAGTGGCAGTGGCTGTCTTCCACTAAAACTTTATTTACTAAAGAAAAATCTGATGAGCTCCATGGTATGATCTGCCAATGATTTTTGTTGCTAAAAACCTTTTAATTGTTTTGGGAAAGCTGTTCTGGAAAGTTCAGAGACAGGGGAAGAAAGTAGAGGCCAAGAAGTAGAGAGGACAGAGTATCATAGAAACACACACACACACACACACACACACACACACACACACACGGTATTTTGAATGAGATGTCCCTCAGAGTCTCAAATATTTGGATACTTGATCCCAACTTGGTAGCACTATTTGAGTATGTTTAGGAAGTGTGGCCTTGCTATGGTAAGTATGTCACTGGGCGTGGGATTTGAGAGTTTAGAGACTCATATCATTTCTAGTGAGTGCTCCATGTTCCATTCTCACAGTCCAAGATGTGAGGCCTCAGCTTCCCGCTCCAGCCACCATGCCTCTGCTCTGACATCATGGGTTCTTTTCTCTCTGCAAGCTTAAGCTAAAATAAATTCCTTCTATAAGTTGCCTTGCTCATGTATTTTATCATTGCAACAGAAAAGTAACTAATATAATAGGTAATGGTTTTTATGATTTAAAAAATGAATCCAAGTGCCTAGGAAAGGACCAGTTAAAGCCAGACCTTTTTAGGATCTCTGTATCAGGATACTTGCTATCAAAGATGCCAGTGCCTAAAGCTTCCTTCCTGGGCTTTGATGTTGGGAGTCTGCACCCCTTAATAATTAATCTGAACAAGCCATAAAAGAGGCTATGCACTAAAGAATATAAACACAGCCTCATATTTCCAATCTTTTATTGCTTTGAGTGAAGTGATAGAGTGTTCACAACATCCACATCTGGAAGCTTCTCAACACAGATAACAATTGCTGTTTTTTTCTCTTGACAGATACACAAATAATGGAATCTTTTCTCCCACTTACAGTGAGTAGGGAAAGGCCAAGACAGCTAATGGCAGTTCCATGAGAAACCAAAGAAGAGCTTGCTCAAGCTGGAACTACTGATTCTACTCAGGAGAGAGGCTTGATTGAAGGGCCAACAGGCCCTCAGCCAATCATCTCACTGTACCCTCTCCACCCAGAACATGTGCCTTCCAGGGAAGCATGCATATATGACCAATTAGAAGGTCCAGATGCACCACCTTACTCTAATGGTATTTACGTGTGTGTGTGTGTGTGTGTGTGTGTGTGTGTGTGTGTGTGTGTGAATATAAGACATTGAGACAACAACCGTGTCATTAACATGGCAACCCCATTCTGAAAATTTTTCCTCTATATTAGTTAACCCAACAGCACAAATGTAACAAGAAAAGTAAAGATTCAAGCTGAATCAAGGTCACTTTCATTCTGGTTTGAGGGACTATGTCAAAATAAAATTTTGTCCTTCTCAGACATCACAGCCTCAGGCTCTGAATAAATTTATCTGTCTGTATCTGAAGAAGAAATAAATTATTTTTCGGCTATTAATTTGAAAACCCTGTACTTGCAACTTTCTCCCGATTTTTTGAAATAAAAAGGTCTCTGGAAAGTGTTAGGATTCAGGCATTATGCTGGTCTGCACAACCCCCAATCACCTGGCAGGATGCACTCAGGCAGTACCCTGGACAGCCCAGGGTCCTATGTCTGCTATGTCACTAAGGAGTCTGCATGCAGGTGCAAAGGTCCCTTTAAGAGGCAAACTCCACCCACCTCTCCTCTCTCTCTTTTTGCCATTTCTCTAAGGAGGCAGACAGATCTCTGTCTGTCTCCCCCATCTCTCTCTTTTCTCTCTCTTTCTCTCTTTTTCTTCTTTATCTCCTCTCTCTCTCTCTCTTCCCCCATTCCCTTCCCTTACCAATAAAACTTCCTTCCCATGTAATTCCTGCCTGATGGTATGTTTGTCCCCCCCACCATGGGATCCACTATGGTCCCACCTCTCACCATATTATGACACAAAGATGCTTGATTTCAGCCTCTGACTCATGCTGCCTTTGCTTCTGGAGACCCTTGCATCCACTGTCCTCTGTAGTCATGCTGCCCCAACACTCTTGCTCACCCAACTCTTCACAGTTACCGTCTGCTTCTTAACTCTTTATTCTTCAGTGCTTATCAAATATGTTAATTATCACCACTCAATTTCTTTGGGAAAAATAACCCAACCCCCAAATAGTGTTTTCGTTAAGCCTTTCTACTTTCAAACATTATGTTTTCACTTGGCTTTCTCTTGCCTCCTCCAGATTCAGTCATTATCATCATCATTATTACACTAGTATTTCTTTTTCTCTAGGTAATTCAGTTTCGCTATCTACGTTAGTGTTGTGAAATACTGTGCTGTGGCAGGACATGTCTGTAGCCATAGTGAAACCAGAGCAGGCATGATGATTGGCAGGAGACTCTCACAAGATCTAGCTTGTTTCTCTGCCCTGGAAAAAGGGAGAGGTCATCAGCTCCTCCCTCACCAGAGAGTACAGCCCTGCCTTCTTTCTCCTCTGCTTTCCGCCAGATGTATATAATCTTTCCCCAGCTGCACGTGTCTTCAACAGGTTGTCAGGAAGCCAAATGAAGAGGGAACTCCAGCTATGGAGTGGTCACTACCCATGCTGGTTGGGACTTTATAGTTATGCAGCTGCTGGAGTCGCCTAAATTCCTATAAGTAACCCAATAAACTCATTAGTTCATCAATCTAGATTTGGGTGGAACTGTTTCCAGTCTAGATTTGGGCAGAATTGTTTCTAATTGCCATTGCTATTTGTGTCCTGGGTGACTAGAAATAGACTCTGCAGAAAAAGTAACACAATTATCAAGGAATATAGCTTTCAAATGTAATCCTGACAAGGAATAGGAATGAAAAACATCTGACAAGCAATAGATAGTAGAAACACATATGCCAGGACAACAGGATTGTTTTGCAAAAAAAATTATCAGCATGAGGCTACATAAAAAGCTCACAGCAAAGTTCAGTGCTATGGGAAAAGGCTTCTTTCATATTGCCAGACTTGGTTGGGTTCGATAAATCTCTTTCATTGTTGCAGTCAGGGTCTATGTATTATGTTTTCTTTCCTTGTTTCAAAGTCTCGGCCTTAGTCATCAGTGTGGAGAGAAAGGTGTCCATAATGTCACAATATGATTCATCAAAGGTCACTGGTAAATCACTGCCCTTTACACATTTTATAATCAAACACAGAGATGCTGAGGGTCAGGTCTTTAGTTGTGTGCTATGAGTTTTGAGCAAGTAATTTTAATTTTGAGAGACAAACAAGGGCTTAATTTTGAATCTCATTATAGAAAAATTTCAAAATATACTTTGTAAGTTCTTGGTCACCAAATGTAAATATGCGAATCAAATTGCCAAAGGTTCTTTTACATTTCCTTCCCAAAAAATCTCTGCTTTCAGCAACCAAGTCATTTTTTTGAATAGGACTGTTTGGGTATGAGGGAAAACAAAACCAAAAGCAAACCAAAACAAAAAGACAGAAGAGAGTTCTGAGTACATAGTGTGGGGAGTTTTGGAGTTCCTTCAGAACTCCAGTTGTGGTTGAGTGGGCCAGAGAGAGATTGTCTTAGCCATTTCTTCCTTCCATGCTCCCTCTGGCAGAATGCAAAACATGACACTTTAGTGAAAAAAATGAATGAGACAGAGGTACTGGCTCCCTTGAGGGTTACAGAAGACATCAGCAATAAGGAATTAAAATATCATCTTTCTGTAAAAGGCCAGAAAGGCAAGCGCTCTGGTACCAGATAGTAAAGATAGAAGAGAACAGGTTTTAATGTGCCCTGAAACTTTCTTTGTGTTGTTAGTCTGTGCTGATTTCAAACCCTATTGAGTCTTCTACTCAACAGAGATATACCCTGAGGGAATTGGGACCACTGGTATCTTTCTTAACGCTCTAGCATATTAAAAGAAAAAGAAATAGAGAAAGAGAAAAACAAACGGTGAGCCAGTTGTGATGACACATGGCTGTAATCCCAGATTTCAGCAGAATGAGGCAGGAAGATCATGACTTTGAGCTTGGGCAATGTAGTAATACCCTGTCACAAAACTAAAAATAAAAAAGATCATAATGATAGTGATAAAAGTAAATAAAATAAAATGAGATGAAATAACAGAGTAATATACTTAAAATTATTTGCTAGTATATTAGCTATCATCAATATACATTTTAATTTAAACTATAATTAAGTGAAAATATGATAATTACCATAACCACAAATCATGAAAAGAATACATCCATCCTATATATGGACTTCATTTCCAATGATGGGTCAAGCAATAAAATCTGTAATGAATTTATGTTGGAAGTCTATTAGTATCTCTATAGTTATATGTAATTACTTGGTAAAACTTCACAGTTGCGTCTCCTTAGGAAAGACATATCCAGGCTGATCATTTTCCTTTGCCACTCCTCCTTCTCACCTTGCTTTGTGACCATCTTTTAGATACCCAGACTAGACTGTAGAATGACCTTGTCATTTTGTGGGGCAAGAGGATAAGGAGACTGAGGTCAAGTGTTGGCTAGCCCTGTGACATCATGGCACATACTCCAGGTTTACTTGATGGAAGGAACAAGTTAGAGAGGGTGGCAGAAAGCAGTGGGACATGAAGGGAGATCCCATCTAAGTAATTGAGATGCTCAGAGTAGATTTGGACCTGGTCCTAGTGTCCTGAACAATTCTGGCAGCTCCTGTAATTATGGTGAGGTATGGAATAATTAGGTGAGATAAACTCTTAGTTAGCTTCTCTATCAAACTCCTGCTTAGCTCATCATACTTTATTTTCATATTTGACTGTCTTAAAAGCTTTTATTCTAATTCTTAATGACTGTCACATCAACACTTACTTTCAGAAACTGTTGAAGTAAGCCTTATTTGGGGAAATATGCCCAAAGAGAAAGACCATTACCCTCTGAAAATGTCCCCCACCCAGAATCCAAACAAGTTTTTGGCCTGATGTCTGGGATAAACAAGTACAGGGATCTGGTTCTTAAATTAATCAAGGAGGATGTAGGAAGTAGAGGAAATGGGGGATTGTAAAAAACTCATTCAATGGTGTCACACGCCTTTAATCCCAGCACTCCGGAGGGAGAGGCAGGTGGATCTCTGTGAGTTCAAGGCCAGCCTGGTCTCCAGAGTGAGTGCCAGGATAGGCTCCAAAGCTACACAGAGAAACCCTGTATGGAAAAAAAAAACTCATTCAAAATAGGAAGGCAGAAAGTCAATGAAGAACCCAGCAGTGGGATCTATAATCTCAGCACTTGGGAGTCAGAAGTAGGTGAATCTCTGAATTTGAGGCCAACCTGGTCTGCAGAATGAATTCCAGGACAGCCAGTGCTACACAGAGAAGCTATGTCTCAAAAAAAAAAAAAATCAGTGAAGAATAAACTGAGGAGACAGACTAAGGGTACCAGCAGTTGAGAGCCAGCCTGACACTCAGCCACGTTTCACTTCATTCTCATAGCTCAATGAAGAGGTGGCTTGAATGTAAAGGGCCTCATTCACAGGTGGAGGAACCACACATGCAACAGACCTAACAGAGGTACTGGAATAGAAAACAAAAGTGCTAGGAAAAGCCCAGCTGTTGTAGGTTAGAGTTTGGGTGTCTAGTTGATAAGGTGTTGACTAATGATGGTTAACTTCCATTGTGAAACTAATTTGATTTTCAAAACCTAGGGTATCCATAAGGCACATCTTTGGTCATTTTTGTGAGGATGTCTATGGAGAGGTTAATTGAGGAGGGAGACAAATTCTCAATGTGGGTGGCCTTGTCCCGCAGGATGAGGTCCCTAAATGAATAAGAAAGGAAAAAAGAGGAGGCCAGCTGGCCATAAGCATTCCTCTTTCTCTACTACTGGTTGGCACTCCTATTCCCATGTTTTTCCTTCCCATTTTCTGAGCTGTGAGCCGAAATAAACCCCTCTTGCATTAGGTGGCATGTGGTTACGGCAAGGAGTAGAGGAACTAACACATTACAAAACTGAAAGGCCAGTGCCTACAGGAACTGGATGTGAGAAGGCTGTTAGATGATCTAGCTGAGGGATCTTCATGGCCATTTAACAATATTGCTTTTATCGGGATTCCCAGAATGATGCACTCTAAGAGAGACTAGAACAGAAAGGCCTCGGTACTCCATTCCCAAGAGATAATGCATGTAAGTTATAACAAAAAGAAAAACGAAAAGTACAAGGGGTTCTTCAGTAGCCACCATCTGCATGGTCAGCAAAGCCATTTTGTGTTTGCTTGTTTGCTCTCGCCCCCCGCCCGAAAAAGGAAAGTGAAAGCTGTAACTGGTTGACATGACTGTGAAGAGGCCAGAAACATCATGTGGTAGCCACATTTGCCCTTCAAGTGTCTTTTCAGTCAGCCTCACTGGGGAGGTGGGAGACAACAGGAAAAAGGTGGATAAATAAGTTGGAGAAGA